TATTTTTAATTTGTCCTGCTGGTGCATTTTCCCTCAATTTTCCCTATTAATTATAGCCATTCAACATTACAGTATAATTGAAATCCATTATTTTTTAACATTTAGTAGGCTCTGAAATATATAACATCTTTTAATTTAAGTGATTTTAAAACAATCTTCACATAAACTATATTATATATGCATAAACTGTACAGATTAATCTTTAAGCTTCAAGCTATAAAAGTCAATCAGCGACTAGAACAGTCCAAGGATTTCTCTTTCTCTTTTGTTCTTTGATTTACATCAACTGACAGACCTCAGCAGGTTTCACTTTAAAATCAGCGCTGTCTCTTTAAAACCTGATGCATTCGACGCGGATCTGACACACATCCGATTTTCTCCCAATTCTTTACGGTCATTTAAGACTTTATAACTCCTCTTTTGTTCTTTGATTTACATCAACTGACAGACCTCAGCAGGTTTCACTTTAAAATCAGCGCTGTCTCTTTAAAACCTGATGCATTCGACGCGGATCTGACACACATCCGATTTTCTCCCAATTCTTTACGGTCATTTAAGACTTTATAACTCATTTAAGACTACGTTTACAAGGTAACTCGCCAAAACCGCGCATTTTGACAGAATTGTGTGTGTTTTCGTGCGTTGAAGCGCTACTGGTGAGCTGTCTGAAGCGGCTCAGCGTATGTGTACAGCCGAACGCGCAGCCTTTCAAAATATACTTCACTGCATAACCCCAGGTATGTGTCGCCGCATTCTCGGGTTATGAAGAATAAAGAAGGGAAAAGTTAATCTTCCGAAATGAAGCAGCAATATCTTCTCAGGTAAAAGTTATTAGAACCGTGTTTAGGGACAAGCTGGCCATCACACCGCTCTGACCTTATCAGTTCATTTGTATCCTGTTAGGCCTATTCGATTCGCTCTTGTCGCTTATGACAGAACAGCTAATCTGTTGTTTTCACTTCATTGCATTGTTATAATTCGTAAAAGTTGTACCCGCCAACTGGCGACTGACACGGTTACATATACTCGCCAACGCTGATTTTTACCTTTGTACAGTCTATGATTTTTACTCTCATTCGGCTCTTGGCGAGTGTTAATTTTAGGTCCTGTGAAACACCAAAACAGTATTTACCATAACTTAATGGACACTCAGTTGAAACACTGCCTTCATCTTCAAAAGGATACCTCAAATATCTTATAAAATTCTTATGTGGACTTGTCTATAGAACACAAGTAGAATAAATGACTATTTTTTGTACTGATTTAATACATGTATATTTTCATAAACTTCACTTGGGCCACACATTTAGTAAGGTTCTTGATACACTCGATGCTTTGAAAATGTGCATATATACAGTGGGTACGGAAAGTATTCAGACCCCCTTAAATTTTTCACTCTTTGTTATATTGCAGTTTACTACAGCCAATTTAAACATGTTCAGATAATCATGTGAAAAATACAGTTTACAAGAATTGTTCCTCATCCATGCCATGATAGCATAAAAATACCTCATATGTACCATAGATACACTGTGCACAAACTGTTACTTCTTTGTGAGTTCTATGATCTCTACAATTCTTTTGTATCTCATAGTAGTTCATTCAGATTCAGAAATTTTTTTAATTTTTTTACTATCTATAATATTTGTTTTTAATGGTAACATATAGTTTTATAATATAGTATAATAATAATCTTTACTTTTTCTGAATATCAGAGGGTTGTTTCTGATTTTAATTTATATTAATATACATTTTAATGCCGTTTAAAATGTAAAAATACATGTGTAACAGCCATTTTATGTTGCCTTTGTACTGAACTATAGTTAGTACTGTTTTATCTACCACTTTTATCTACCAAAATACACTTAATTATATAATTAATGTTTAATAATCAGAGTATTGTATTGAAAACATAAATTGTCATACTTAAAACCCACACACATTAACTGATTTTGTAGTCTTTTGTAGCAATTGTTTTATATTTCACTGTAGTGTACCTTGATAACACCATGCTATTCTTTCTTCTAGTACTATGCATTTACATGCATTTGTATAATGAAAGTTGAAACTATTTGCATATATTAAAATCTATGAATGAAAATAAATTAATGTATACACCTTTTGTCTGTTCTTTTCTTTATGATAGAAATCCAGTTGTGCTCTCAGTAGAGTTCTTACTACATAATAAAGTTAAGTCAAGTAGCCCATCCCATCCCATCCTTTACAAAAGCTTTACCATGGTAACTACTGTTCCCACCAAAAATACTAGTAACTGCAGCTATTGACCACAGTTGTTTTTTAATGTTTAAAGAAGACAAAAAGGTTTAAAATAAGAAAAGTTTTTTTTTTAAAACTTGTTTGAAGCAGTAGCATGTATGGTTACCATGGTATTTTTGTAATGAACATTTATGAGTGAACAGGTTATTAGTTTAGAAGTGATAAGTTATTAGAGTTATAATTAAAAACATACCGCCTCTGTTTCTTACCAATGTGGACGTATAAGTGTTGTGTTGTTTAAAGGGATAGTTCACCCAAAAATGAAAATGTGATGTTAATCTGCTTATCCCCAGGGCATCCAAGATGTAGGTGACTTTGTTTCTTCAGTAGAACACAAACTGAGATTTTTAACTCAAACCGTTGCAGTCTGTCAGTCCTATAATGTCAGTGGATGGGAATCACGTGTTTGTAATTTCACAGTTGTAATACCATAACATGAAAGCGCCGCTTTCCTATTGCGAATGTGCCGAATCTGCTGATGTAATTACAACCGCTAATGATAGAGAAGGGAAGGGGGAGGGGGAGGCCGGGGGAGAGGCGAGCTCTCGTGCCTCCGTTGATGAACAAAATTAGCCAATCAGCATCGAGTGTTCACTTTCAGCGCTGAGGAGTGTTGAGAAAAGAAACCTTGCAGAGGAGGCTAGCCTCCTTCTGATATCAACCAATCATCATTGAAACGTAAATTACGTGATATTAGTTTGAACGTCTGCCGCTGCGCTGATAATGTACCAAGTACTTATGATGAGTAGCGATATTGAATATTTGATTGCCAACAGATTTACCAAGCTGTCATTCAAACAGTATACACATTTAGGGAAAATAGCCTAAGCTGGATAAAGGCTACAGCAGTCGGCTTAATTAAATGGCACAACAGGCAGCTCTCTTTTAACACAGACTTTTAAGAAGGGATGGATGTTTGCTTCAAGTGATAGGCCAGGTAAGTGAACTTGTATTATCTTGCTGTATGTGTGTCGTTTTCTTTACGTTTTCTGACTAAAAGCAACCAAAAAGCCATTTTAAAATGGTTAAGCAAATAATAATAATAATCGGTAGGGATCCCAGACCAATACCATTAGTGTGCCTCCTCTATTTTAAAACCCACGAGCCGCCACTGGTAGGGATGGACGTATCGATCCGAAGTATCGATATATCGAGATATAGATAGAGTATCGAAAGTATCGATACTCTAACAAAAATTATCGATACTAAGGTGCGCTTTATTTACCAGTGGTTTTGTTTATTTAACAAAAATAATAATAATAATAATGCGTACAATATGCATTGAATTGGAGGAATAACCTTTGTTAGCGAGTAATTGTGTAGGATAGAACTATTTTCCTGCTCATCTGAACACACGCGAATGTTGCAAGACAGAACCAATCCATCACACAGAGAGCATTCACTCACTGCTGACAGTGCATTCAAACAGGGCTGCGTTTCCCAAAAGTATCATAAGAAAGCATTAAAGCTTTTGGGAATGACAGCCCTGAACAATGCTTATCAGAGGACAGAAATAAAAACATAAATGTTTGAGTTATTTCACAATAAACAAATTGAAATTGTAGCCTACATAGTTTGTGCAATTACAATTATTTAAATTGAACGTTGAAAGATAATATTGATCATGTTATATTCTGTAATGTTAATAGAAATCATACACTGTCAGAATGAAAAGGTTGCATTTTATGCATGCAACAGCCTTTCATTGGCAGTCCCTAATGGCAGTACAAAATATTGCACTAAATCAAAAGTTCAAATGTTACAAATAAGTTAGAATATTAATGTTGTAATACTGGTAGCACTAATATAAAAATGTGATTGTTACAAAAAAGTAAAAATTTTGAAATACGTTGATGGTTGTATTTTTTTGTATTTGATCTCAGTATTCCTATCAATGTTGTATAAGGTTTTTTTTATGCATAATAGTCATCCTAGAATGTGATCAAACAGTTTAAAATAGCTGGGCAGAAATATGTTAATTCAGTATACACATTATCCCACCGGTTACAATTGTGACTGACCATAAAATAAAAATTTTCACACACTTTTCCAAAAAAATATATAAAAGGGTTGAAATAATGACGCATCATTTGGATATTTTCATGTCTGGGAAATATTTTGGGATTAAACGAGTTAAAATGCGTTTTAAACATAAAGTTAAGTGGTTTTCATTACCCATTTTACTCTTAGTAATTTAATACATTTCATAATTTAAGTTTAGTGCAGAATTATGGAATCGGTATCGATATCGACGATACTGCCTTGAAAAATAAGGGGTATCGCCCATCCCTAGCGTGAGGCGTCGTCTTCTTGCTTTGCGGTGGATTGCAGACTTATAAGTGCATTACCGCCACCTATCTCTCAAATGGACCATTGACACTCTATCTACAATCTCAATTGGGAGCGTCAATGGTCCATTTGAGAGATAGGTGGCGGTAATGCACTTATAAGTCTGCGATCCGCCGTAAAGCAAGAAAAAGAAAATCAGAGGTAAAAAACGATATAAATACTGTTCAGTTTCTTGCACAGACTGATCGTTCTGTGTCTTTTCACATCAATGTATCATCACAAGCCGCAGGGTTTAATTTGGTTTTGTTTGTGTATGTTTTATGACTCTCAAAGCCGTGAGCCCCATCCACTGACATTATAGGACTGACAGACTGCAACGGTTTGAGTTAAAAATCTTCGTTTGTGTTCTTCTGAAGAAACAAAGTCACCTACATCTTGGATGCCCTGGGGGTAAGCAGATAAACATCAACGTATCATTTTTGGGGTGAACTATCCCTTTAAGGTTATAAAACTACACTCTGGAACACGGTTACAGTTACACTCTGAAAGGACGTGTAGCTCTGAGTTCGATTACCTCCGCCTGCGCATATTCTCTACTCTAGAGGAATGTAGACTCGATTAGTTTGGGCTGGTATTCTGCGCGGCTGCTTCTGCACGCGGGCTGAGTGCTGTTACTCATTGCATTGTAGTTGTTGGCTTTTCTGACCACTATTAAATTGAAAACGTATGCTTTTGACTTTTATATACGGAGAATGGCTGATTCACAGGATGACAAACTCTACAAAGCCGAATACGCAAAAAGTGGTCGCGCCTCTTGCAAGAAATGCAAAGAAAACATTGCTAAAGACTCGCTGAGAATGGCCATTATGGTGCAGGTGAGGAATTATGTGCAACTTTGATTCAGTAATACTGAAAGAATAGCAGATGTATTTTTGGTTATGCATGCTCTTAAATGCATAACGTTAGTGTAATCAATGCGATTGCATATACACATATGTATGAATGTGCCTCAGGCCCAGGAGGAGTTTAAATGGTTCGCAGTCATAGAATGAAAGGAATCAGCAGTAATTTCCCATGGCCATACGTTTACACTGGCATTTAGTGATGCTTTGGGCAACATTAGCAAGAAATATATGTAAAAAGATGCTGTTTTTTGCTTTTGGTTTTGGGGAGTGGGGAAAGCAAAACAAAAACAAAGCTGTGTTGTTGCAATGCATTGCTAATACAATAGAACCAATGTGTTTAAAATGGCCAAATCATGTCTATTTTTAATTAGAATTCTATGCACACTGACTTATTAAACTCAATGTTTACGTTTGGTTGTGATAGACTACCGTAACACCATTGAAAAGCAAGAGTGCTTTAAAATACACAAAATAAGTTAAGACAAGATCTGTTTTACTGTAAATTCTCAGCTATTATGGGACCAAAAATTACTATTTTTATGACTGCAGTGATGTGTTTTTTTTTACATGCTTTCAGTTTCACTTTGCAGGCTTTTTATTCATTGTTGCATGTTATTTGTGCTATATCTAGTTTGATGTTTTTTTATCTAGCTGGATTTTACTCATCTGGCACCTGTCTGTCTTTCACAGTCTCCCATGTTTGATGGCAAAGTGCCTCACTGGCACCATTTTTCCTGCTTTTACATGCTTTCAGTTTCACTTTGCAGGCTTTTTATTCATTGTTGCATGTTATTTGTGCTATATCTAGTTTGATGTTTTTTTTATCTAGCTGGATTTTACTCATCTGGCACCTGTCTGTCTTTCACAGTCTCCCATGTTTGATGGCAAAGTGCCTCACTGGCACCATTTTTCCTGCTTTTGGCTCCGGGCTGCAGTACAGTCACCCTCTGACATATCTGGATTTATTGACCTCCGCTGGGGTGATCAGGAAAAAGTGAAGAAAGCCATTGAGAGCGGAGATGCTACCGGAGGTGATTTGTTAATATTCCTTGTTTTGACCTAATCACTGATTTTGCTTTGTTGAGTTTGCCATATGGGCTGCAAAGCAGTTAGGCTTAAGTCACTAAGTCTTAAATCAACTCCTTAATCCTCATTGCATTGCAGGGAAAGGAGAGCAGAAGGGAGCAGCTAAAGGGGAGAAGATCCTGAATGACTTTGCAGTGGAGTACGCCAAATCCAACAGAAGCACCTGCAAGGGGTGTGATCAAAAAATCGAAAAGGTACATATTCCATTATCTTTTGTTAAAGAAAGTATGCTTTTTGAACACGGGAAGTTAATCTGTTCTTCCCTGCTGGTGTTCAGGACCACATACGAGTGTCAAAGAAGACAGTGGACCCAGAGAAACCTCAGCTTGGTCTAATAGATCGCTGGTACCACACTGGCTGCTTTGTGAGCCGCCGTGAGGAGCTATTGTTTAAACCAGAGTACAGTGCCGCCCAGCTCAAAGGTTTCGCAGCTCTACGAGATGAAGACAAAGAGGAGCTGAAGAAAAGGCTTCCTGCAGTGAAGAATGAAGGGTGAGCTTTTGATTTCTTATTTAGGTTGCTGTCATGAATCAAACTATATAAGCACCGCTTTAGGATGCTTTTTGCTGCTTTATTTAGATTTACCAAAAAAAATCTGCATAACTATTTATTTAAACTGGACAGGTTTGTGTAGCAATTTCTGCTTGAAAGATTTTATGGATCTGTCGTACATTTCAAAACATGAGCAAGTAGTGTCAAGTGTTAACAAGTTTGTGGTAATTATAAAATGTGATAAAACAAATTTACTCTCACAACATAGGATAACCACACGGAAATTGTACTGTTTGTGGGCGGGCAAGTAGAGCCATAAAAGAATAAGATTTGATTTCCTGAAGACTCGTTTAGGCCAGTGTTTCCCAACCTTTTTTTAGTCGCGGCTAGGCCTGTCGCGATAATTAAATAACCATCTAATCGCGATTATTTGATCTAACCGCGATTATTGTGCCTTTTATACGAGACAAGTGGGAGTCATACACCAAAAGAAACAGAAGAGCACCAGTTTGCTTTTCATGCACTGTATAGCCTATACAGGGCTCCAGACTCATTCTTCCCACTGGTCGCTCTTTTGCAACTAACTTTCTCTTTGCTCTACAACATGGGATTATTCAATGCATGCTGATTATGTGCTATATCTAGTTTGATGTTTTTTTATCTAGCTGGATTTTACTCATCTGGCACCTGTCTGTCTTTCACAGTCTCCCATGTTTGATGGCAAAGTGCCTCACTGGCACCATTTTTCCTGCTTTTGGCTCCGGGCTGCAGTACAGTCACCCTCTGACATATCTGGATTTATTGACCTCCGCTGGGGTGATCAGGAAAAAGTGAAGAAAGCCATTGAGAGCGGAGATGCTACCGGAGGTGATTTGTTAATATTCCTTGTTTTGACCTAATCACTGATTTTGCTTTGTTGAGTTTGCCATATGGGCTGCAAAGCAGTTAGGCTTAAGTCACTAAGTCTTAAATCAACTCCTTAATCCTCATTGCATTGCAGGGAAAGGAGAGCAGAAGGGAGCAGCTAAAGGGGAGAAGATCCTGAATGACTTTGCAGTGGAGTACGCCAAATCCAACAGAAGCACCTGCAAGGGGTGTGATCAAAAAATCGAAAAGGTACATATTCCATTATCTTTTGTTAAAGAAAGTATGCTTTTTGAACACGGGAAGTTAATCTGTTCTTCCCTGCTGGTGTTCAGGACCACATACGAGTGTCAAAGAAGACAGTGGACCCAGAGAAACCTCAGCTTGGTCTAATAGATCGCTGGTACCACACTGGCTGCTTTGTGAGCCGCCGTGAGGAGCTATTGTTTAAACCAGAGTACAGTGCCGCCCAGCTCAAAGGTTTCGCAGCTCTACGAGATGAAGACAAAGAGGAGCTGAAGAAAAGGCTTCCTGCAGTGAAGAATGAAGGGTGAGCTTTTGATTTCTTATTTAGGTTGCTGTCATGAATCAAACTATATAAGCACCGCTTTAGGATGCTTTTTGCTGCTTTATTTAGATTTACCAAAAAAAATCTGCATAACTATTTATTTAAACTGGACAGGTTTGTGTAGCAATTTCTGCTTGAAAGATTTTATGGATCTGTCGTACATTTCAAAACATGAGCAAGTAGTGTCAAGTGTTAACAAGTTTGTGGTAATTATAAAATGTGATAAAACAAATTTACTCTCACAACATAGGATAACCACACGGAAATTGTACTGTTTGTGGGCGGGCAAGTAGAGCCATAAAAGAATAAGATTTGATTTCCTGAAGACTCGTTTAGGCCAGTGTTTCCCAACCTTTTTTTAGTCGCGGCTAGGCCTGTCGCGATAATTAAATAACCATCTAATCGCGATTATTTGATCTAACCGCGATTATTGTGCCTTTTATACGAGACAAGTGGGAGTCATACACCAAAAGAAACAGAAGAGCACCAGTTTGCTTTTCATGCACTGTATAGCCTATACAGGGCTCCAGACTCATTCTTCCCACTGGTCGCTCTTTTGCAACTAACTTTCTCTTTGCTCTACAACATGGGATTATTCAATGCATGCTGATTAACTTTTATCATAGTTCTTTATCATCTTTTCCTCAATATGCGTGTCATTTTTGCTGCACGCTCCTTCCGCTCGTGCTGACGCGGCGAGTATACTATCTAAGCTATGTTTTGTTATGCTTTCATTTTCGTTAGCCGTTTGATGTTTCTCATATGCAACAGAAATTGCAGCGCTTATGAGTTCACCAATGCAGTGGTCGCGCCAGTACAACCGCACACAAAAATTTAGTCGCACAGGCAGAAAAAATGGTCGCAGTCTGGAGCCCTGCTATATCATTTGAAGCCATTCCATATCTTAATGTGAGCGACAGAATTTAGGCTTACAGAAACTCATCTTCCTTCTGCTGCAGCTGTCAGTCATTCTCCGCTCAGCTTTCAAACAGCACGTCACGGTCAGTTATGACAGTCAGCATAAAACTCTCTCTACAAGATGATATATTCCCATTATAATACTTTAAATTTAAGGAAGGAAGGAATTAGGGATGCACCGATATGAAAATTTTGGCCGATACCGATAACCGATTATTCTTTATTTTTGAAAGCCGATAACCGATATGTTGGCCGATAAATCTATATCCAAATTGTTATATACTTTCTGAGAGCCTGATTACAAAAAAGGTCTCATCATTAAAAGCCACATCCCAAACACTTCAACATAAGCAGCCTGTAGGCTTTTATACATATGTAAACATTTAATTACCATTATAACTAGCTATCTCACAAATTTTGTGTTTTCTGTCAAATCTCATTCTGTGTTTTCTTTACTTTACAGTGGGGTAATTTTGGTGCAGTAGCTCGAGATTCAATTCATTTAATGAATTGAATAAAAAATGACAAGTAAGCAGTCAGTAATAAAATAAGAACAAATAAAGAAATTAATAATGATAGCACAAATAAAAAATAACGACGGGCCTTCGAATTAAATAAATTGCTTTTTAGTTTTTCAGGTAGGTCTAACAGTAGGGTTAAGATATATTTAACTTATATTTTTTTTTACCAATTATCCAAATAATGTTTAGTCCTAGAAAGCTATTATTATCAGCACCCGTGAGCATAACATAGCGGTTAGCAGATCAATGAATGAGACGGCAGCGTTACCAGAGTTGCCCATACACCACACCTTGTTACAACACAGTAGGGCTATTGCAGACAGAAACAATACTGTACTACATCCATGTTTCTTTTCGGCTCAATTTTTGAGTGGACTTTGCTGTTCCGATTCACATGAACGGTATACGAGTGGAGCGACTGAGCGGAGCGCACATGCATAGAGCGGGATAATACGCAGAGCGTCACACCACGTGAAAGTGAAACCTGAGCGGTGAACTAATTTTCTGCAGCCGAAATTTCGGTGCATCTCTAATTATTGGCGACATCAGAAAGGGATATTATATAATAAATGCTTTTTTGAACATTTTAGCAATTAAAAAATATTTTAAAAAATTAGTTTTTACATGGCACCCCTGCTCTCGACAGACGGCACCCCGGTTGGGAAACACTGGTTTAGGCGATTGCGAGCCGACTCTTTTTTTTTTTTTTTTATAGACAATACCTTTACTTATCGTGCACTGTCGGCTTCACAGATTTGCAGATCATTTATGTTCACATACAGCTACATGACACACTGCATGAAAGATAATATTCGAAAAGGCATAACAGGGGCACTTTAAATAAATATATGCACTCCATGTTTCAGAGTGAAATGAGGCACTGTGTTCTTTTGCATGCACGTGATTGAGTATTTTCAGTGTTTCAGAGTGGCTCATCTCTGGATGTATTGTGAGTTTGGGTCACTTAAAACGTTTATTTGGGTACACAACATGCACCAAACTTTTTCCCAAATTTATAATGAGAACTGTAGTGCTTATAAACTAGGTATTGTCAACAAAATAATTTTTTAAAGGCTCCCTATGGTTTTCAGCGAAAAAAGATTTGATTTGTAATGTTTGAAAATTAGTAAATTAATACTGCCATAGATATTACTATTACACTTTTGCTGTTGAACTTTAAAATAAAAATGATTATATTATTTTTCTTAAATACTCTATTCTTTTATTTTACTGTGAAATATATAAAACTGGAAGTTTCCAATGAAGTTCCAATCCTGCAGTGGTTAAAACAATGATGTATTTGTTTGATACACATGGTTGTAGCCTATTTGAATTTGGCAATAGTAATAATCATAATAAAAATTATTATATTTATTGTTATAACATTGATATATAATCACAGAATTTTGGGCAAAATAGTGCAGCCCTATCAACAAGCACAGCAGACCTGAAGCTTTTTTATTTTATTTTTTTTTTCAGAAAAATCACAATTAGATTTCCCCCCCCCCAAATCCTATATCCATAGTCTTAAGTCGTAATTAAAAATAGTATTTTCTCTCTCAAATTTAAGAATGTTTTTTCAGAAACATAAAGCACATTCAAAATACAGGTCTGGTTTTGCACATTAAACCATCTTAGAATTATGTTTTCAATCCCATTAAGATTCTTTTCAGTTTTATCTTTGGGACTAGACTAAGTGTTATTGTTCAGGATCTTTGAGTGTTATTGCCTCCTCCATCGTCATGCTGTTCATCGCCATCACCGATGCCCCTGCAGCACAGGAAGATTGCCTTGAACGCATTTCTGAAGGTTTTCATCTTGTAGGCATAGAGGAAAGGGTTAACAGCTGAGTTTGCATGGGAGAGAATGATAGCCGTTAGTAACAGCGGTAGAGGCACATGACATGACGGACACAGCAGCAGGAAGCAGTTGATGATATGTAGCGGAATCCAGCAGGACGTGAAAAGGAAGAGGACCAGGAAGAGTGAAGTGGCCATCTTCATCTCTTTCTTCATCTTTGTTGTTCCCTCCGTGTTGGCCGCGCCACCCCGCTCTGCCGCGATCCTCCTCATCTGACGTTTGACCGTGACGAAGATCTGCGCGTAGATGAGGAACATCACCACCAGCGGGGTCAGAACACAGGCGAAGAAGTTGAAGTAGACCATGTAGGTCATATCCACCACCAAGACGAAGAAACAGTAGCCAGACTCGGGCGGAGGCTTGTGCCAACCCATCAACGGCACCAGACCAATCAGGAAGGCCAGCGTCCAAGTGAAACACAAGACCAGCACTGCGTTGCGAGGTGTCATGAGTCGGTGGTACTGGAAGGGCATGAAGATGGCAATATAACGCTCAATGGCAACCGCCAGCAGGCTAAAAATGGAGCTCTGGGTTAACATGATGAGTACAGATAACATTAGCAAACACAGATACAGATTGTGCCGTGGAATGCCCAGGTCTGTCATGATGGCGCAAGGGATCGCCAGTGAACCCACGCAGATATCTGCCACCGCTAATGACACCAGAAAGTAGTTAGTAACTGTTTGGAGCTTCCGGTTTAGTCCCACTGCAACACAAACTAGCAGGTTACCCACAGTGGAGAGGAGGGCTATGACGAGCTCGGCTATCATGTAAGGCAGGTTTATGGATGCTAGGATGCTTGGCACTGCTGTTGATGTAGTAGTAGTAGTGGTGGTGGCTTGGGTTAGTTTACCTTGTTTAAGCGTCGACATGGTGGATGTGGCGAAGTGCAAAAAGGTGTTATTTTCATAAGAGGTGAAATTCATGAAAGTCGTGTTGGTGTAGAGTAGAGTCGGCAGGAATGTGAAGTTGGCAATAGGCTGGTTCATTTTGACCTAGAAAGAAAAACGAGAATTGAAAATCGGATATTAAGCTTTAATGATTTGTCTGTTCACTTCTAATGTGCCTTTAATTTTCACTGTCTGAAATAATGGCTTCCAATGTTAACGTAATCAAGTAATAAAAAACATTAGTTAAAAGCATACAGGTTATCTGATTATCACTTCAATTTCCATTTACTAACTGATACGTTGACTTACATTAATATATGTAACAATAATGGTATTAATATAATTCTGTTTTTATTAAAATTGTAATAATATACAGCATTAATGTAACATTAATATTGTGAAATATTACCATTTAAAATAACTTTTTAAAATATTAAAAAATGTGTGACATGATCTTTCAGAAATCATTCTAATATGCTGATTGTGATTTTCTTGTTATCAATTTTGAAAACCGTGCTGCTTAATATTTTTGTGGAAACATTTTTTCAAGAGTCTTTGATGATTTTCAAAAGAACAGCGATTATTTGTAATACAGTCTTTTGAAATAGTAAAAATATCTTAATAGATCAATTTAAAGCATCCTTGCTGAATAAAAGTATTAATGTTTAAAAAGTGTTAATTTAAACAAATACACAAGTATAACAAATAAATAAAGTAGTTTAAAAAATGGTGAATATCATAAAATTATGAAACCTCTATATAAAAAGTAAATATGAATGTACCTACCAAGTCTCTGTCGTTTGTTTCGTATATTATTGCCTTGAGATGTCACTTGTCGCTTGATGTTGTTTGCCTATGTTCTGCCAATGCATTTGACTTCTTTGGATCTACTTGGAGAAGTACTTGCATCCATTAGCAAAAAATGCCACATTTATATTCATTTATTTTCTCTCTCCCCATGTCGCTTTTCACCCGTAGCTGTGATATGGGCTTTTATAAGCCTTTCATTCTAATGGGAAGAATGGTCTTGTTTGTGTTTTTCCCGCTATGGGTCATCGATTTGACCTCTGGTGCCCATTATCGTCACCCAAATGGGCGTTAATTGCATTCTGGAGGGGAAATAGGCGCAGCAGTGATGTTGAGATCTGCTTAAGTGTCTGTCATGAGGTGGTTAATTAATGATCGGCAGTATGATGGCTGCCGGATAGAGGATCCTGTCCAGACATGACTGTGACTCAGGAGACTGATAATCTTCTAATGAGGTCCACTGATAGAAGAGCCTCTGGGTTATAACACACACTCATGGGTGACCAGAGTCTCTCTGTAGGATTAACTCAAATCCACAAGGTGGAAAGGTTTTCACCATTCAGATCAGGTGATAAGATCTTGGATCATGGATCAGGATTTGTTTTTTCACGTTTATAGTGCTCCTTTTTATTTGATGTAAAGGCATAATATAAAATCAGTTGTTCATTATTATGTCCGGCTGTACATTGTACATCTATGTATGTACACCTGATCACTCTGAAAGGGTTTATATGATAACTGTACATTTAACCTGCTTATTACATAACTACTTACAAATACAGACACAACTATTTCGGTGTTATTTTAGTATAATTTATATAATATTAAAGACAGTATTTATTATTGTTTAAAAAAAATATTAGTTAGCATTCACTTATATTTGTGGTTTTCATTTTAATTTTAGTTTAGTTAATTGTCTTGTTTTTTTATCTTTCTAGTTCGCTTTTTCAGTTAGTTGGCAAGCATTTCTAATTAATATTTTTAGGTGGAAATAGTTAATCTAATATTAGTATTTTATTTTATTCAAGCTTTATTTGAATAAATGTAAAGAGATTTGTAATAGCTTTTGTTAACAAAAACAATGCTGTGTAGGTTATTAGTTGCCTGGGTAAGGTATACCGTTTAGCAACATGATACAGAAGAAATAACAAGTGAATGTCACAACTGACCAGAAAAATTAGAATTGAAATAATTAGGTTTTTATAAAGCATATTTAAGTAATGTCTTTAGGATATAAATGCAATACATTGTGTTTTCATAAAGTGTTTTATGCTCATGCGTTTGGTTGTCTTTGTTTAAAAAAAAAAAAGCGTGCGCGCGCTTAAACGAATGGTAAAACTAATGGCATTATTTACTGTCTTTACATTTGTTTTGAAAGCTGAAGCTCGCGATTATGGTAAGGGGCGTTACATTTCTGACGAGTGCTTGCGGTGTTCGGCCAATCACAATGCACTGGGTCAGCTGGCCAATCAGAGCAGACTGCGCTTGTCGGGAGGAGGGACTTTGTAGAAAACGAAGCGTTTGAGAGAGACGGGGCATAGAGGACCTACAATAATGTACAGTATTTTAAAAATAATGGGTTGTTTGAACATTAAAGCATGTCAACATATTCTGTTACACCAAATACACAAAATAATGATCTTTAAAAAAAGTATCATATGACCCCTTTAAGGAAAATTTGTCTTGTCTCCTGAGGCCACAGGAGGACGCAATGAGCAAAATAATTGCACATTTAAATTTTCTATAAAAAAACGTGCATTACATCTAAACTAACTCATAAAAATCAAATATAATTTTGTAAACTGCATAAACAATTATGAACAAAACAGCATCATGTATTTATGCATTGTTTAATCCAAAGAGCCGAAGTGCCATTCACACAGATTGCCTTTAAAAACATATGAGACGCAGTGAAGAGGAATAAACCTCCACAAATTCGTGACGTGTTTTCTAAAAGTTTAAACCGTTTTAACTTTGCATGGCTTTCTATACATCTCTTGTGTTAGACGCGAGTGCAGCAGTCATATTTGTCCGTCTAAAAAATCTTCTAAGCATTGAGCTTCTATATTTCTCTAATATTTAGAATTAATAACGCAGCAGCGGCACGTCTCGTGGGCTAGAGTAGACTAACAAAACATTAAAATGCAACAATGTCACTAGCCTACATCATCACCGCATCTCGCGTGCCACTTATGACACTCCCTGACATACACCTAACATTCAAATGCAAATGTTTATTTTAAATTCGACTAATATGCATTCTTTATTCACAATCTCTTCATCACAGGCAGGCACAGCACTCAATTCAGCATGTGTTCGTGTGTGCTGTCTGCGTCACTCGCCTAAGCACATGCCTATATCGTTGCTCCATATCGAAATTTTTTTCTATCGTTATCGAAGAAGGTGTACCGCCGATAAATATCGATACCGTTTTATCGCCCAGGCCTAGTGGATATCCACGCAAATAACGAAAACTTCAGATCTACACAGAATTACTGAATTTAAGAAAACACCACGTTTATTTTGTTATTTAGTTAGAATTCAGTACAAAAATATTTGTCATTAGATATTGCATATTTTATATATATATATATATATATATATATATATATATATATATATATTTTATATATGTGTGTGTGTGTGTGTGTGTGTGTGTGTGTGTGTGTGTGTGTGTGAGGCGCAAGAAAAAATATGGGAAGTGCCTCTATATATATATATATATATATATATATATTTTAGGGGTGTAACGGTACACAAACAGGACAGCTCGGTACATACCTCGGTTGTGACGTCACGGTTCGGTATGGTTTTGGTACAGCAGGAGGAAAAATACATATTTTTTTTAATTAAACAATTGCTTACTGAACAAATTGTTTTTTTCTTTAAATAAATTCAATTACAATTAATTTTCTTGGGGATAAAAATCTTCATCAGCTTCTCCTCTAAACTATAGGGAGCCCTTTTACATTACTGTAAGGTAACAATGAACAACAGAGCCCAAAATTCAATTACTATTTATTTTTAACTGTAATCAACACTCAAATTAAAAATGTGTATGCAAACATGTACATTGGACATATTGCAGTTTTTAAATTAACTTCTAAATTATACAATTTCTATTTGTTGTTGAAATATAATCATTTTCAGAGTGGCTGTCATAACTTGTTTCATAAAAGATTTATTTAAACATACAATAAATAATTAAGACATCATTAACAGGTAAAGGAAAATATAATGAAGTATACTTTGTCGTGTTGCGTCGCACCGCATCCAGTGTAGACAGCATCACCGATTATAATGGGTTCTATTGTATTTTGTCGCGCCACTTGCGTCCGGTGTAGACACCCAGTTAGGAAATGTGATGTGACCGATGTGATAAGCATGAGTTCTGGGCCGCGGCGCGGCCGGTATAAACACCAGCATTTGCCAAGTTCGGTAATCGGTAAAAATTTTGAAGCGCTAAATATTTTTTCACAAAAAAATTATTGTATGGAAACCTGGCTGTTGGCTGATTGAGTGGCTGCGATCAGTTCCAGTGCGCCGCAGACACATGCCGTGATGCGCAGATCAGCTCTAACACCCCCGAACCTGCTGTTAAAAATGAACCATCCATTCATCATATCATCATGCTAAGAATTAGAATCATTGTGATGTGATGATCAAATATAGGTGCCAGTGGGTGGCGGGCGGATAATTTGAAGCAGCGGACTTGGGTGAAATTTGAGCTCACCCGCGCATCTCTACACTACACTGACCTGGGTCACCAGTAGCAAACAATGGAGCGTGCTCTGCTGGACAAACGAAGTAATTACACCATTTAGAAGCATTTAATCTGTGTTATATGCTCTGTAAAAAAAAAATCATATCGGCGGCATATTTGCAGATACCTATATATCTGCGACAGGCTCATATCGGCAAAACGATATATCGGTCGGGCTTTAGTTTTAATGAAGTCTTTCCACAATTGAAACACATTGAGCAATTACATCAGGCATGATTTGTTTATTCATGTATATTTCGCCTGAAAACTAGTAATAAAGATGAAGGGATGATCGCGCTCCTCACTGCCGTTAGAACTGAGGCTTCTATACAGCGATCTGTCTCGCCACAGCAAAGTGCGCCAAAACGGCATGTATTGTCTGAATTTCCAGAAAAAATGGAATGAATTGTTTGGTACACATGCGTACCGAACCTGAAAGACCTGTACTGAACATTTTCGGTACGAAAAAGTGTACCGTTACACCCCTAATATATATGTATGTATATATATATATATATATGTGTATATATATATATACAGTATATGTATAATTTTACTTTTATATACATTTTCATTTTAGTTTGTTAGGAAATCTATTTTATTTTTTTAAATATTTTGATTCAGCTTTAGTAGGTTTAGTTTAATTTGAGTGATTTTATTATTTTCTCATAGTTGCTAAAGAGCATTTCTCATTTTCTTTTAAGTTTCTAATATATATTTATATTGTATTTCAGCTATATTCTAATTAACAATATTAGAAAATAGTTCAAAATGTTAATTTTAGCTTTAGTACAACAGCAAAAACAATAATAGCACATTTTATTTTGTTTTATTTACTTGTAAAATGTAAGTTGTAGACACTGGCGAGGCTACCATGGCTTTTTATTCATTGTAGTAAATTACTTGCACTTGCACAAAACACTCAAGGCAAGGCAAGTTTATTTGTATAGCACATTTCATACACACTTCTCAGGCAGAGACAAATTTTTATTTGCGTCTTGATGTTTACATTCAGAATTTTTTGTGTTATGTCCCAAAATTCATATTAAAATGGCTGATCTCTGATAAAAACTGATCATATGGAAAGCAAGTTAAGCGGGTACTATTATGTTAGGCTCTTTCAATTTTTATGAGCGTAAAATTTGTTTTTCTCAATGTATCATCTAGATAAGCCTCTGACAGGACTGAAGCTGCTTGCTGTGGGAAAGCTTAGTAAGAACAAAGATGAGCTGAAAAATGCAGTGGAAGAACTGGGAGGAAAAATCACAGGCTCTGCCAACAAAGCTGCTCTCTGCCTCAGTAACAAGAGTGAGTGATGTTCTGTAACTCTTTTCAAAACCCTTGTGAGCTGCCTTGCTGTCAAAGTAGACAGATTGCTGACTGACTAAAATAAGTTATGCTCAGTATGATATAAAATGAGGTGTGTGTGTTAACTTGGTGTCTTGTTTGTACTTGACAACTAATAAATTTGTCTCTTCTGGTTTGTCGCCAGCTTGTTAATTTGTTGGCGTGTGTCGCTTCGAAATTCATTAATAACTTGCTCTGTTCCTTTTGTGTCTCAGAGGAGATTGAAAAAACGAGTAAGAAGATGGAGGAGGTGAGGGATGCAGGTGTGCGTGTGGTGGCAGAGGGCTTCCTCACTGACATCAAGGAGTCTGGCAAGGCCCTCCAGGAGCTCATCTCCCTGCATGCCATCTCACCCTGGGGTGCTGAAGTTAAAGTCGAGTCCCAGGCTGCAGCCCCGGCCTCCAAATCCACTGGCGCTCATTCCTCAAAGAGTACCGGCAGAGTCAAAGAGGAAGAAGGTTAGAAAGATGCATTTTAATTTTCCAGCAAAACTTCTTATAAAGAAAGATTTAAAAATGTAACTCCTGTATGCACATGCACCAGATTACATTTTTAGATATTTATGTTTTACCGGCAGTGAAACAAAATCTGGAAGTGATTTTGAGCAGGATTTGTTTGGGTGAAACATGCTAGGCTGTGATATGATTAAAATTATAATGGCATATTAATATATGTATTATTTTAAAAAAAATGAAGTATATAATAAAATCAAATTATACACATTTTATTTATTATTTATATATAAATATTTAATCAACATAAAATATATAGTGTGTGTGTGTGTGTGTGTGTGTGTGTGTGTGTGTGTGTGTGTGTGTGTGTGTGTGTGTGTGTATACATATAATCCACTGTCTTAAAGAAATAAGATGTTTTTTATTCAAAGTTGTTGTAGTTTTGCTCTAGGATTGTTAGAAGCATTTTCAGATCCCATTTCTATACATTCTCAAATGCACTGACATGATTTTTCATTTGTACATTTTAAAAGACAGTGTTATACACTCTTGCTGAATAATAATGCTGTTTTCCTACTCTGGCAGGTGGAAGCAAATCAAAGAAAATGAAACTGACAGTAAAAGGAGGGGCAGCAGTTGATCCAGAGTCAGGTGAGACTGAGTCTTTTTTCCATAACACTTTGAGATAAGAGTTAATCTTATATCTGGATATGTTTGATATATATTGTTTGTGCAATGCCTTAAACATGATTTGATTGCTCAGGTCTGGAAAACTGTGCTCATGTACTGGATCAGAATGGGAAGAGTTACAGTGCCACACTGGGTCTCGTGGACATCGTCAGAGGGACGAACTCATACTACAAACTACAGCTTTTGGAGGATGATGTTAAGAAACAGTGAGCCTCACCCATTTTTGTGATTCATTTGGATTCCTGTTACAAAAATATAATTTTACTTGTCCATCAATAGACAGCTTATTTAATTGCACAACATAAGTAATCCATAGTAATTTCATACTGTATATACAGGTTTCTTAGGTGTAATGGTAAGTAGGCTACTTTACAAGCAGCATTTTAACCAGTACCTGCGTCAAAATGTTTCTCATGAGGTATTTCTCCTATGGAAGTGTGAATATAGGGTACTGCAAACTTAAGTACAATTGTTATATAAGTAATACCTTATAATTATTTGACCAGACAGGTCACTTGTCTTGAGCATGCTTGTGTTGATTTTTCAGATACTGGGTGTTTAGGTCATGGGGTCGAGTCGGCACCACCATTGGGGGAAACAAACTGGACAAGTTTTATGATAAGAACTCTGCTATGGACAATTTCTGCAGTGTGTATGAGGAAAAGACTGGGAATGCCTGGGCCTCCAGCAACTTCACAAAATACCCCAATAAGTTTTATCCTCTAGAGATTGACTACGGACAGGTAAGAACTGGAACAACATCTAGCCAAAGCACTATTAGATATATAAGAGTGTGATTTTAAAAAGCATTGCTAGAATTGTGCATACATCCGTTAACATGAATTAGAGGCTGTCAGAAAGGCCCTTACTGTCAAAGACAATAAATAATCTCACTTTGGAAGTGTGCCGATGCTCACGTATGGCCCCCCTTGATAGAGAGCCTACAATGTAAACACAGTGTTATAGTATTAAACAAGTTGTTTCTAATCTAAATAAAACAGTTATGGAGCTTTGTGCATATATTTACCCAGGATGAGGAGGCTGTGAAGAAGTTAACTGCAAGCGCAGGCACCAAGTCCAAGCTGGACAAACCCATCCAAGACCTTATACGATTGATATTTGATGTTGAGAGCATGAAGAAAGCCATGGTTGAGTTTGAGGTGTGTTCACGTCCTCCCTTTTTAAAATTTTTTTAAGAAAATAGTAAAATAGCACTAAAACTGTTAATATTTGTTGTGGTCGTATATGTGATGATAACTTGTGTAATTTCTCCTACAGATCGACTTGCAGAAGATGCCTTTAGGAAAACTGAGTAAGAGACAGATCCAGAGTGCCTATTCCCTCCTGAGTGAGGTCCAACAGGTTGGTTCTGAAAGCTGGATCTCAACCGCATATATGTATTAAAAGCCTGGTTCTTCCCATTTCGGTCTCCTTTATCCTAACTTCATGTTTGCTTTCATTAATTTCTGTAGGCTGTAGCAGATAGCGCTGCAGAAGCACTGATCTTAGATCTGTCCAATCGCTTCTACACACTGATACCTCATGACTTCGGCATGAAGAAACCACCATTGTTGAATAACATGGATTACATACAGGTACGACTTGGGCAACCATCTAAAGATTGTCCGGCAACGTTGTGGTGGTTGTACTAAATTCTGTTGCATATCCATTATAGCAAAAGGTGCAGATGCTGGACAACCTGTTGGACATTGAGGTGGCCTACAGTCTGTTACGGGGAGGAGTGGAGGACAATAAGAAAGATCCCATTGACATTAACTATGAGAAACTCAAAACCAAAATTGAGGTAAAATGTGTTTCACTGGAAGAGCTATTCTTCACTGTTACCATGATGTGGTCATGTTGTAGTGATTGGTACTGATTTTGTGTTTCTAGGTGGTTGACAAGTCATCAAGTGAGGCTCAGCTTATCCAACAATATGTGAAAAACACACACGCTGCTACTCACAACACCTATACACTGGATGTCGAGGAGGTGAGGTTCACTCTATAAAGCCTGCTGTATGTTTAAAAAAAAAAAAAAAAATTAGAATTTTCAGTCTTTACAGAGTTCACTAGTGCATTAAATACAGCTGTAAAATAACAAGCTTTTATCTCTGACTACTGCGTTTTTGTATTGTTAGATCTTTAAGATCGACAGGGAGGGTGAGTACCAGTGTTTCCATCCTTTCAAAGAATTACACAACCGGCAGCTGTTGTGGCACGGCTCCCGCACCACCAACTATGCAGGTATCCTGTCTCAGGGTTTGCGTATCGCTCCTCCTGAAGCTCCAGTGGTAAGTTTCTGCATCCTCCATTTCCATTGGCTGCTTCTCTCTGAAAAAAATGAGTATGCAAAAAAAACAACTGTATTAGAATAGTTTCTTTCTTAAAGGGGTCATGAAATGGAGAATCAGAATGTTCTTGATATTTGCACATATAAGAAGTTTCAGAATTCAAAACTCAAACTCCCCAATTTAAAATATGAATATCTTTAAACTCCCCAGCCTAAAATATGAATTCTTCTTTTCTACCCTTCTGAAATGGCTGTTTATTTTTAATGGCATGCCTGAGCGACTGAAAAATGTTGTGTGAATTATTCTAAACATGCTGCTGGTTTTGCAAAACATGTTTTATTAAAAGATGCAGCAGTGCCGAACATTTAGAATGTTAAAATATTTAGAATGTTGCAATACTAGTGTACTCTAATCATATGTATTCTGTTTATGTGATTTTTTTATTTTTTTTAATACAGACAGGTTACATGTTTGGCAAAGGTGTTTACTTTGCTGACATGGTGTCAAAGAGTGCAAACTACTGCCACACATCCCAGGCTGATCCTGTTGGCCTCATTCTGTTAGGAGAGGTTGCCCTTGGAAACATGTAAGAGATGCTCTTTTTGTCCTAGTTTCGAGATGATTACAGTTTACTTAAAGATGCAGCAGTGCCGAACATTTAGAATGTTAAAATATTTAGAATGTTGCAATACTAGTGTACTCTAATCGTATGTATTCTGTTTATGTGATTTTTTTTTTAATACAGACAGGTTACATGTTTGGCAAAGGTGTTTACTTTGCTGACATGGTGTCAAAGAGTGCAAACTACTGCCACACATCCCAGGCTGATCCTGTTGGCCTCATTCTGTTAGGAGAGGTTGCCCTTGGAAACATGTAAGAGATGCTCTTTTTGTCCTAGTTGTACGATGACTACATTTTAACAAGTTAATATGCTAGAGTACAAACGTTTGGAGTCAGTAAGATTTTTCTTTTTAAAGATGTCTCTTATGCTCACCAATGCTGCATTTCTTTAATCAAAATACACTAAAAACAGTAATATTGTAAAATATTATTACAATTTAAAATAACCGTTTTCTATTTTAACATTGTAAAATGTCATTTATTCCTGTGACGGCAAAGCTGAATTTTCTGTATTTCCAGAATTTCCTTCATTCTAATGAAATCATTCTAATATGCTAATTTGGTGCTCAAGAAACATTTCTTATTATTATCAATGTTGAAAACCGTTCTGCTGCGTAATGTAAACATTTATATTAAAAGCTACACTATACGAAATACCGTATTGGCCCGAATATAAGACAACCCTGATTATAAGACAACCCCCCTTTTTCCAGATGTACCTTTTGGAAAAAGGCTTTTTAAAAAACAAATCTTGTTTTTTCTCAGTAAAACATTTTGTCTTCAGTTATTTTCATATTGCATATTTTTCCTATTTTAATTTATTGATTGATACTGATTAAATGTACCAACAATCACATTTAAAAAATATACACTTTTTGATATACCATTTAAAAAAAAAAAACGGTAGCCCATCTGAATTAGGACATTTAGGCTATCCATCTAATAGTAGCCTACCAAAATCTTATTAACAGTAGAAGTTAAATCTTACTGTAGTCTTCAAATCTGGGTACTGTCTTAGGGAGTTTGGTCCCATCAGGCTAACGTGACCTATTGATGTGGGTGTATTATTGACATGTCAAAGTCTAGACCCTGAATATAAGACGACCGCGTTTTTTCAGATGTATTTCCAAGAAAAAAAATATCGTCTTATATTTGGGTCAATACGGTAAGTCTAATATGTTTACATTATAAATGTCGTTACGGTTACTTTGATCTATTTAATGCATTATTGCTCAATAAAATATTATTTCTTTAAAAAAAATTTACTGACCCCAAACCTTTGAACAGTAGTGTATGTCAACGATTGGAAATTAGGAAGGCAAAGTATGTTTACTTTTTTGATTCATTGTTGTCTACTCTAAAGATCTGATTGTGATTTTTGTTCTACTCTAAAGGCATGAATTGAAGAAGGCCTCACACATTACGAAATTACCAAAGGGTAAACACAGTGTAAAAGGTAAGATGGCTCTACATTCAAGTCATCTTTATTTATATAGCACTTTATACAATACAGATTGTCAAAGGAGCTTTACAGTCAAACAGGACAAACGTGTGCTGATAATGTAAGAGAACAATAGAAAACAGTCAGTTTTTCAGTTCATTGTTGATTCAGTGATGTCATCATCCCAGCTCAGTTCAGTTCTCTTCAAATAGCCAGAAAGAGATTTTTTTTAGTTAAGCTGCTGTTTAAAATGTCCTAAACTCAAGAAGTCCAGAAGTATGTTCTTTTTCTAACTTCGCTCTGTGTTTCACTATGGGAATCGCTTTGGGCATGACCAACTGTGGAAGCTCCAATGACATAACGTCTGTCTTTGACAGACAGGTTGACCTGTGACCAGACTCCGCCCCACCTATATCAGTCAGGTTGACCCCTGCCGAAGTCATTCGCGCTTTCTTCCCGTGGGAGACTGCAGCTAGCTCTCTCAGCACATCCTGACTTTGCTGATTTTCGCTTAACTGTTCAACAGGCGGGCAGTCATTGGAATCTGTCACCGAATGCGAGGTCAGTGGACTGGATTGTGTTGAGTGACATTATTAACAATTAGAATAGTGTCCGCATCAAGGCGAGCTATTCTATTGGCCTATTGCGTATTAAATTATTGCAGTATGCAACGTCAAGTCAACTAGGCTTTACGCGACGTGTTAAGGCAAGCTTTCAGAAGGTTTAATTACCTTGGTTTAATTCCAACAGGCTAATGTGTTGTGACGAGTCTGAGGTTTACATCACTTCTCAGCCATGTCGACGGCAATTACCCCCGCCAAATAGAATGAGTCGAAGATCAGGTAGGTTGCATCCCTCCCGTGTCCATCCTCATGTGGAGCTACCGTCCCGGGCAGGGACCCTCACCCCATGTGCATCGTGTGTATGGGCCCAAAGCACTCTCAAACGTCACTGGCGGATCCACAGACATGCGCTCACTGTGCGTCATTGCTGGTGAAAATCCTGAAAAGGAGGCTGAGAGTGGCGGTGGCTAACAAGCAGGACCCAAGTCTGTTTGGGCCTAGCTTGGCCCACGGCCAAAGATGCCGAAGGAGCTGAAAGGGACCTTTATGATGGAAAAAGGTTGCCTCTTGCTCAGCCTGCAGCTCAACTTAATTCCAACAGGCTAACGTGTTGTGACGAGTCTGAGGTTTACATCACTTCTCAGCCATGTCGACGGCAATTACCCCCGCCAAATAGAATGAGTCGAAGATCAGGTAGGTTGCATCCCTCCCGTGTCCATCCTCATGTGGAGCTACCGTCCCGGGCAGGGACCCTCACCCCATGTGCATCGTGTGTATGGGCCAAAGCACTCTCAAACGTCACTGGCGGATCCACAGACATGCGCTCACTGTGCGTCATTGCTGGTGAAAATCCTGAAAAGGAGGCTGAGAGTGGCGGTGGCTAACAAGCAGGACCCAAGTCTGTTTGGGCCTAGCTTGGCCCACGGCCAAAGATGCCGAAGGAGCTGAAAGGGACCTTTATGATGGAAAAAGGTTGCCTCTTGCTCAGCCTGCAGCTCAACTCCTGCCTGCCGTGCCTGCTCGCATTAAGGAAATGTCCCGTTACTGGTCTAGCCCCTTTAAGAGCAAGCTCCCTATCAAGGGGCATTCCATGTTGGAGATTCATGGGATGGGGGAGCTGGGGTTGGCGGTAGCTGGGTTACCCCCAGCAGTAGAGTCTTAAGTGGCCTATCACCTCCATCCGAATCAGCTCTCTATTTCTGCCTCCTCTCAGATTTCGCTGCCGAGAAAGATGGAACAGCTGACCGCGTCAATATATCAGAGGATGTATAAATACGCAGGGCAGTCCATGTGCTCGCTGAATGCGGTGACTTTACTATCAGTGTATCAAGAGGAGATTTTGGAGGAGATGGGGCGGCAGTTGGACTCAGGAGCACCGAACCCAGCACTCTGGGACAAAATTGCGGTTCAGGGCTGTAGCTGCGTGATGGGCTTGGCTGTGTCAGGTGAGAGAGCGTTATGGCTAAACCTGTCAGGCTTGGGCAACGCACAAAAATCAGAGGTAATGGATGCTGCTTACGACCTTACTAAGGGTTTGTTTGGCCCAGCCCTCGAGAAAATGAGGGAAACTAGCACCCTCAGGAAACAGGAGGATGAAGCATTTAACCTCTGTTTGCCGCATAAGCAAGCGCTGCGACCACCCTCTCAACCGCCACGACAGGGCTTCGGAGCAGCCGCTGCAACGAGAGGGAGACCATTGGGCGCTAGGGCTCAAAGATTTGGTCACGGCAGGCAGCAAGCTGGCCAGCGCTCATGACCGGATGGCTCTGGACCTTGGGGTAAGCATTCTTTCGCGGCCGTGGCAGCAATATGCAGGTATTCCCCGGCCCTTCTCTATCCGCCCGCAAACAGAAGAAGGTGGGAATACAGCCCTCTTGTTCGGAGTTCAGAAAGAGCCTGTTCAGTGAGCTCTCCTCAAAGTCAGAGAGACGAGGGAGCTCAGAGTCATGTTCAACAGCGTCACCAAGCACTCACTCTGTGTTTTCAAACACTTTTCAGTTTGGGGAAATAGAAAATTAAAAAATGCATCATCACATCCAAGCCACAGGCTGAGGCCGATATGCTCCCCGAGTTCAAGGAACATTTTGCACTAACGCAGCCAGGCAAGCAGCCGAAGGTGATATGTTCCAGAGACACAATGAACGCACGAAAATCCAAAGGTATGAGAAGCACTCCCCCAGTCTTAACGCTGGCGGGAGCGCTCGCTCCTTCAAAGGGAGCCAGTGCAGCGGCAGTGATGACGTCATCACTGTGCGACGTTGGCTGGGCGGAAGTGTACGGAGGACTTCTTTCTGCCCAGAGAACTTTTTGGCGCACATGCGCAGTTCATCTGTGGGTTTTGTCAACGATTTCACAAGGTTACAGACTTCAGTTTGCCATGAAACCACCTCAATTCAACAGGGTGATTGTGTCAGTGGCCAAGGGAGAATCTGCTCGTGTCCTGACAGCCGAAACCGAAACTCTTAAACAAACGGGCGATCAGAACGGTGCCCGAGGAGGAAAGCTGTCGGGGCTTTTATTCCCATTATTTTGTAATTCCAAAGAAAGGGGGCACAGCCCTTCGTCCAATCCTGGACCTTTGAAAATATTAGTTCAGAATATTAACACACAAAGCGCTTTGTCAGTCGATTCGTCCGAATGATTGGTTTGTGACAATCGATCTGTCAGACGCTTATTTTCAGATAGACATTTACCCCTCTCACAGGAAATTCCTCAGATTTGCATACTGAGGCACAGCATACGAGTTTCAAACCAATGGTTTTACCAAGTGTGTGGAAGCGGCCCTGTTCCCATTAAGGTACAAGGGAATAAGAATATTGTCGTACATAGACAATTATCTGATATACTCATCGTCAAGAAAGCAAGCAGTGAAAGACACAGAGATGGTGTTAAATCATCTCAGCAGCTTGGGGTTCAGAATCAAAATGATAAATGCCATTTGGAGCCCTCTCAACAAACAGAATATCTGGGGTTCAGCATAGACTCCCTCTCTTATCGAGTCACACTGACAGAGGGGAGATTTGCATCTTTCGCACAATGTATCGCCCGCTTTCAGATGGGGAAAGTGGTTCCATTCAGACTGTGCTTGGGTCTAATGGCTTCTGTGATTTCTGTAGTACATTTGGGACTGCTCAAAATGAGGGATTTTCAGCGCTGGATTGCGCAGTTATGTCTGTGCACTCTGCGGCATCTCAGCCGGCCGGTGAGAATTACTCATGCGTGCGTCAGAGCGCTCAGGAATTGGAAGAGTCCCACGATTCTCAGAACGGCGATTCCCTTGGAGGCAGTGCCATCGAGACACACTATGACGACGTACACGTCCTTAAAGGACTGGGGAGCGACTCTAATGGGCAGAGCTGTGAACGGCGTGTGGCCTCCGCAGCTGATGCACAAACACAAATTATTTAGAGTTGCTAGCAGTGTGGTTAGCACTTAAACATTTTCTGAGCTTCATCAAAGGGCAGCATGTGTTAGTGAAAACATACAATTCCACAGTGGTTGCTTACATTAATCGGCAGGGGGCATACGCTCCCTTCAACTGCATCAGTTGGTGAAGAGGCTGATCGTGTGGAGCGACACAAGGCTTTTATCCCTCAGGGCGACTAACGTTCCAGGGATTTTAAACAGGGGAGCAAATTTATTATCCAGGGGAAACCCCCTGTATGGGGAGTGGAGACTCCATCCCCAGGTGGTGAACCAGATTTGGCAGAGGTACAGACAGGCACATTTCCTCTTCTGAGCTTAATTTCCCCCACTCTAGCCAGAGTGAGGGAACGGGGTCTGTCATTAATACTGATAGCTCCACATTGGCCATCCAGACATTGGGTGGCCGAGATAGTTCAACTGCTGTCAGGCCAGCCGTGGAGGGATCTACTGTCTCAGGCAGGGGGGGAAATTTACTACCCTCACCCAGACAGGATAGCTCTCTGGGCTTGGCCCGTGAGAGGTGGAAATTGAATGCTGCAGGTCTGCTTTCATCAGTCATACTATTCAGAGTGCAAGAGCCTCCTCTACTCGCTCACATTATAGCAATAAATGGCGAGTCTTTGAAGGATGGTGTGAGTAGACTCATTGTGCCTTTTCAATGCTCGTGAGGGATATTTTATGCTTTCTTCAAGATCTTCTAGATAAGGGGAAGGCTTTCTTCACCATTAAGGTGTATTTAACCGCTATTTCAGCTTGTCATGTAGGTTTTAGAGAGAAATCAGCAGGCCAGCACCCCTTGATAAGTCGTTTTATGAAAGGGGCACGCCGTAAACGTCTGGCTTCCAGACAGATGGTTCCTTTATGGGATTTATCCATTGTCCTAGAAGCTCTTTCTCAACACCCTTTTGAGCCATTGGAGGGTATTGGGCTTAAGTTGCTCTCTCTTAAGTGCTGCTCATGGCTTTAGTAACAGCCAAGCGTAAGAGTGACTTACATGCTTTGTTAGTCTGTCTTGTTTGCAGTTCGCTCCAGGGCACACTAAGGCTTCCTTTCGCCCTAACCCGGGTTTTGTGCCCAAGGTAGTTGACTCAGCCTATAGGTGCCCATCTAGCTGAGCTGGAAGCTTTTGTTTTTACCCTCATCCGTTCTCTTCTCCGGGGGAGCAGAGATTGAATTCATTATGTCCAGTACGGGCTCTTCATATGTATGTGAAAAGAACAGCAGGTATTAGGACTCATGACCAGCTGTTTGTGTTGTGGGCTACTCCTCACAAAGGGAAGCCGTTGTCTCGTCAACGGCTGTCTCATTGGATCATAGAGGCTATATCTTTAGCCTATATTTGCAAGGGTCTTCAACCGCCTAAGGGCTTGAGAGCCCACTCCACTCTGGGGATGGCTACATCATGGGCCTTACTCAGGGGAGTTTCGGTTCAAAAAATTTTTTCTGCAGCAAGTTAGGCTATGCCGCATACTTTTGTGCGATTCTATAGACTGGACGTGTCTGAGCCATCCTTAGCACATGCAGTGCTGGTGCCAGTTTGTCTGTGCCCATTTAAGTGCTATGAGGATAGCAGTGGCATGGGTGCAATCCGGGAGTGGTCTATATTTCCCATAGTGAAACACCGAGCGAAGTTAGAAAAAGAACGATGGGTTATTTAAAGGCAAAAGGTAATTTTTCGCCACTGGATGGCGCATATTCAAAATAAACTAAAAGAGACAAAGGCGTAGTTTGATGACGCCGTGACTGAGTGTGGAATCATGGGAGTTGTCGTCTTCATCCCCACAGCCGATGCAATCTGACGGGACTCGGGCAGAAATCATGTTCATGGATGAGCTAATGATTTATTAACGTAGTAGAATGAAGCAGGGTGAGGCTGAAAGCCGTCGAAGCGAAACGAGGCCACTGAACGAGCGTGATACACGGCTCGAAAGCAGCGGAGCTTTTATTATGCCACAGTCGACCGCTTCCACTCCTCCCGGTCGTGCGTATGTGGGGTAAAGCAGCACTGTTTTGTCATACTAGATACATTTGAAAGTTCTGTTATAATGCTACTCTGTGCGGTCGTCACCGGTCTATTAAAACGCACAACATATTAAAGCATCTTTGGTGTTTCCATGTTTTCTACAAAACAAAACCGGAAATCGAGGGGTTATGACGTCATTGGCAGGCGACACAATGACACTATAGACACGCTCCGTGTCACTAGTTAAAATTGCTTATTTCTCTGGATTTAAACATTCTTCGAAACATTTGGGATAATGTAAGTACACAAGTCAGCAAAATATATAACACCGTTCTAGTGGTTTTTGGATATTTTAATAAAAAAAATCATATTGTGATTACATATTGTGCCTTTAATGTAAACCTGGGTTCTTTGATAACAGAGTGAAGTGTTTCACCAGCACTTCCCTCCTTGCACGGGTACGGGAAGAAATCTCTCTATAATGACTTTGGCAGGGGTCAAATACAGACGTGATGTCATTGGAGCATCCACAGTTTATCATGCCCAAAGCGATTCCCATAGTGAAACACCTGACTGTTATCAAAGAACCTGGGTTTACGTTAAGTAACCCATCGTTTCTGATAGAAACGTTTTTAACATGTCTTCTGTTTGAAGGTTTGGGAAGAACAGCTCCAGACCCAAGAGCTGCTGTATCTCTGAATGGAGTGGATGTTCCTCTGGGCAAAGGCATCAACACAAATATTGAAGACACAAGTCTGCTCTACAACGAGTATCCTTTTTGTTTTCTGCATCATTCATTTTCCTTCTTGCTGTTGTTTATCTCTTGTTGTAGGTAAATGTACATCTCAAATATATTTAGACAATTACACATTACACATCACTATCTTTCACAGTTTCCCTTGACTCTGACTTTCCTCCAGGTACATTGTGTATGATATTGCTCAGGTTAACCTAAAATACCTGCTAAAGATTCGCTTCAACTACCAGACCTCTCTGTGGTGAGACAGCGGATGAGATGTGGACAGGCTTTTGGAAGCCACTGAAGCCCACTGCTACAGCTTTAGCACCAAGACCAAGCAGCATATGGGTTGATAAACGATAAATCAGTTCTCTAGCGCTTCGACAGAACATTTCCTGTTGCTTTGTCTGTTAGTTTGGAGTAAGTTAAGTGGCTATATGTAAATTGTATCACTGCATTGTTGCAAATATTGCAGGCTTTGGTACATATTCACAGAAATGATTGGACTTATCTGTGGCGATTTTTCTTATAAGCTACCAACGATGATAGGTAGACAGTCTTCCATGTTTCATAGACTTTTTCTTTAATA